ATCAGAGATCTGATTGTTCTCTATGTTCCAAACAAATAACTTTGCTCCAAATCTGCAGGTTTACTAGTGGTTCCTAGAATTTCTACAGGTAGAATGTAGGTTAGATCTTTAGTTATGAGGCTCCTCTCCTGTGGAACCAACTACCAGTTTTAGTCCGTGAGGCAGAAACCCTGCCTGCTGTAATGTTTTGGGTTGCGATCAGTAGTGGAGAGGAGATGGCGAACGCAATCAGAAGGACAACCAAACTAGCAACCACAGTAATACATCCATCCATCCATTATCTGACACGTTTGTCCCGAGTTGGGTCCCAAGGGATGCTGGTGCCTATCTCCAGCAGTCAATGGGCTCGAGGCCACCTGTCCAGGGTATACCCCGGGGTATACCCTGGACAGGTCGCCAGTCCATCGCAGCACAGTAATACAAAGAATTCCAAAGAGCCTGTCTTTTAATAAGATGCTCGCCATCCACCTTATAAAGCCTAACTCAACAGCTGCTGTTTATTAGCATTCAAGCAATCCCTGACGTTACTAGAAACGACAGGGCATTTGTTTGCAACATGTCCTGTTGCAGTCTCTACAGAGACACATTCTTAAGACATCACTATTAGGAGTTAAAGAGACATTACACAGCTGTCACAGTTTACGCACAAAGCCTTAAAACTTTCCTTTTTGATAAAGTTTAGAGTAGCTCAGATTATCCTGAGCTATCTCTATAGTTATACTTTTATAGTCTTTGGCTACTGGAGGACATGGACACAACTTTTTCTCACTCTGCTACAATCTGTTTCTATTCTCCAATTTTGAATAATTTTTATCACAGCTTTTAAATTTATGTTCACTCTACTTTTTGTTGTCATAATTGCTACACCTTCCTTTCATCCTTCTGGCCTTCAAATCAACTTAGAGCTTTTTTACCCGTTTCTTTCCTAGATAGACCCACCTATGGAGCTAGCATACCGCAGCCTTCTGTAACATAGAAATTTATTTTGGATTAGTGCTACTAGGTTCCTTTTGTGTGACTTCTCATATCCCCAGTCGGTGGATATTCTTCCCTGGCTTTTCCTCTCCACTGTCACTGCATGCATGTTCATTGTGAGAGATTGCTGCAAAAAATGTTCACTGTTGCTTCATTGGAATTCAGGAGAAGTTAAATCTACAAAGTTAATGAATCAACATGATTTGCTGGGTTTCCTTAGATATAAAATTTTAAATGAATCTGTATGATTTGATAGATTTGACTCCATAAAGTGCCTCGAAATGACATGCTGGGATCTGCTGCTATATAAACAAATTGAAGTGAATTGAATCAAAACATTTTGCAGGGACAATTTTGCACTTGTATCCTCTGCATAGACCCGGATAGAAGCCACTCTAATTATAAGCTTTATCAAACAAGAATGTTTTAAGCTTTGTTATAAAATTAGACAGTGTGTCTGTGTGAAACTAAAAGACCTGCCTCCATTTTAATTCTAGGAACCACCAGTAATGTTGGTACTGTATTTGCAAAAGTATCAGAGCTAGTATTAATGCACTTTTATATGAAGTAAAATACCTTTTGTGTAAATATATTGTGGGATTATGGGACTAAAAGAATGTTTTCTGCACAGTTTTGGCTATGCACATTATGTCTGCTTTGAATCACATTTCAATGTTATATTTATCAAGACAATGTCATAAAAGGAGTAGACCTAAAGGAAATTTAATTATATAGAAGACTGGACCAACACTTTATTGAATTGGGTTGGTTTAAATTGTGTTTTTCTTGTGGGAGATTTCTTTATGTATTTTTTCAGATTTTCTATGTCTTATATAAAGTTTCTCTCCTGATCTGAAACAGTTATCAAATGCTTATTTACAGTTCTGTATTTCAATAAAAGCTGCTAAGCAAACTATACTTCCACCTCATGTTTTTTTTCCAACTTGTGGTGCTGGAGAAAGTTCCATTCAATTTTCTCTTAACTTTATATTGTATCTATTCCTAAAAACAGTTTGAAGGATTCAAAATTGGCTTCCTGTTGGCAAAATTGGCTTCCTGTTAAATCAAGAATAGAATTTAAAATCCTCCTTCTCACATATAAAGCCTTAAATGGCCAAGCTCCATCTTATATCAGAGATCTGATTGTTCCTTATGTTCCTAACAGAGCACTTCGCTCTCAATCTGCAGGTTTACTAGTGGTTCCTAGAATTTCTAAAAGTAGAATGGGAGGCAGATCTTTTAGTTATCAGGCTCCTCTCCTGTGGAACCAACTACCAGTTTTAGTCCGTGAGGCAGACACCCTGTCTACTTTTAAGGCTAGGCTTAAAACTTTCATTTTTGATAAAGCTTATAGTTAGGGTGGCTCAGGTTATCCTGAGCTATCTCTATAGTTATGCTGCTATAGGCTTAGACTTTTGGAGGACATAGGGACCCCCATTTCATCATTCTGCTTCATTCTCTCTCTGTTCTCCTATTCTGCAGAATCTGTTAGTTCAATCTCTAACCTTCTGCTCTCTCTGCTTTTCCTCAGAGTAGCTTTGCCTCGTCTGTTCCTGTTTGGCTGTGACGTCATCCTGGAAAAAAACATCAGCTGTGCTGCTTCTATCAACACCCTTGTTAATAGATGTTGGAGATCGGCCTGTTTTCCAGTGTGGTCCTGTTTCTCTGACCGTGACTGAGTGGATGTGCTCTCTTCGTCCTCTGGCATGGGAGCTGCCTTGGAGCTCGTCTGCCTGGCTGTGTGTTTCCTGGACGGGGCCGCCTTTTACAGCTGCTTTTTGTATCTCTGCTTCTGTCTCCTTGAACCCCAGTCGGCCTCGGCAGATGGCCGCTCACACTGAGCCTGGTTCTGCTGGAGGTTTCTTCCTGTTAAAAGGGAGTTTTTCCTCTCCACTGTCGCTACAAGCATGCTTAGTGTGGGGGATTGTATTTGAGTCAATGAGTCAATGCAATCAACTGGTTTTCCTTAGATAGAAAACTTTGTATCAATTTGACTGTATGATCTGGTTGAACTGTAAAGTGCCTTGAGATGACATGTGTTGTGAATTTGGCGCTATATAAATAAACTGAATTGAATTGAATTGAAAAGAGGGTTTCGTCTGAGTGGCTGGAATCTGCTTTAGAGACAGGATGAGCTGAAGTAGAAATACTACTCCTCTGCAGTGAAAAGGGTCACTGTCTCAGGATACCTCCTGGGAGCCTTTCCAGAAGTTTTACTACTCCCCCTGGGATTAAGGATTAGGAATTAGGAGTTATAGAAATAATCTATCTTTAAATTCTGGTAGACTAAAAACTTGAATACGTTTTAATTTAGGCATATATAAGCAGGTTAAGACTGAGATTCTTCTTCTGGATTGACATCTGTATCATATAAAAATGAACAGACTACGAACGAGCCGTTAAAAATATAAAAAAAAAAGATTGTTGTTTTTACAAGGCTGCACTGTCTTATTTGAGTATGCACAGATACATTTATTGGATGACATTGGTCTGTAAGACTCAACTTGGCAACCATCACCTTTTCTCTCTGTACTTCTGGCCATTGTGCTCTGCTCTAGCAATGTTTTCCCCCTGCAAGTTCCTCACATTTAGAGTCGGGAAAGCATGCCTTCAGTAATTCTGCTTTCATTTATTTATTTTTTACTTTCAGTTCTGTCTTACTTAACAGGGCAAAAGGGTATTCACAAAATATTGCCAGTCTCTTTAAAACATTGAAAATTGCATATTTGAGCCAAATTTTTAAAAAATAGTTCATTATTTTGTTGATAGTTATTGCAGGATAACTCTTAGTGTTAATGATGATAACTGCTACTGTTTTAGAATTGCTTTTTTTTATAAATTGCACTTGACATTTAAAATTACTATTTTATTTTAAGTGATTGTTTCTATAGTGAATGTTGTAGACCTACTGGCCAGGTCATCCTCCCAAAAGAGAGCTTAGATTCAATACTTGTTTTTTTACCTGGTTAAATAAAGTTACATTAATAAAAAGTGATAATAAAACATTTTTTGTCATACTTTTTTAAAAAAGTTTGCTTATGGGTTCAAAAATGGGTGTGTGTGTATCTGTGCTGCACTGTATTATGGAGCATAAAGAATTCAAAGACAGAACCGGATGTGCAATTGATGAGTGGGAGCTGTAGAGTCGCATTCATTTCTCCCATCATCTGTTTAATCTTGCTCGGTCATATCATGTTTTCCAGGTTCCTTGCTAAGATCAATAAGGTCAACACTTATGAGTCAAAGGAAAATGCAGAATAGGTTGGTTGTCTCAAAAACCAGATTCAGGATTTTTTTGTTGTTGGTTTTTTTACACCTCCTGAATTGTTGTGGGAGGAATGTGAGGGTAACTTTAATAAATGCTGCAAACTAAGGCTCCCAGAGAAGAAACTTCCTTGTTGAGGCATGTGGCTCTCTGCCATGAGCTCATTACTACTTCCTCTTCCCCTTTGAACGTGACACCTTCCTTTTTTCTGGCTTTGATCTACCAATGTATCATCATTGCATAATCTCCAATTGGTCTGCCTGGCTGAGAGGAAATATGCAGGAAGTTGTGGATCTCCAAAGAGTAGGAGGAATGTTTTAGGAAAGAACAGCTTCCTTCTTGCACTGACATGTTGTTTAGACTCATTCATTAAATATATTTTATTTTTCAAAGGGAGTTCCACAGGCTAGGCAAATTCACACATTTCCTTTGTGAGTGAATATTTTCCTCAGACATAATAAAAAGGACGGATACATCATATAATAAAGTACAGATTGAGAAATATACTCTTTCATTATAACAAGTTTTATTTCTCATTAAAAAAATGCATCATATGGAAACACTTTAACATGCCTGACTGAGTTTCATAAATAGCAAATAAATATAATAAATATAATGTGAATAAATACAGAAAATTATTCCATTGGAAATACAGGAGTAAAAACGCCTTTTTTAGACTGATTGTCAGCAACAGAAAACTACACCACATGCTTTGATCAATGTGATCATATGCTCAGAAGCTGCAAACATTGAGATATCCTCAAGAATTGGAGGGGCATTTCTGAGCTAAGCCCACAGAGTGGTGAGCGGGATCACCGACAGCAAAGACCCTCGCGGTGAGTATGGAGAAGGAGAAGAGTCGTTCCAGGGTATAGCTGCACATCAAATCTTCCAACCACCACTGATCAACTGGCTGTGGCTCCTCTCTCTTCACATGGTGCTCCTTTGGAAACAAACACAAAAAAGGATCAGAAATATTATAATTTTAAGTGAATTTAATTTGAATCACTTCATCACATCCATCTGGTAAAGCTTACCTTCCCTCTCAGAGACCTCAAACATTTGGCCATGTCCTTGTGCAGCTTTTTAATTGCTGGCTTCAAAGTTGTGTTGACTTTCGAACAGCCTTTAAATGCAGAAATCCTCTCAACAGCATAGTGGTAGCTGGTCAGCACACTAAGGAGCTTCTCAATGCATGGCTGAAGAGGAACGATGCAAATGTTTGCTTTTATTTTACTGTCTATGGTTTTAAATTCATTTTGAAATGATGCATTTTTGCATTTTCTACTTACTGTAGAATTTTCTTTGAGGCTCCCAGGGTCACACTTGTCATTTGCATCGATCCAGGCTAAGGAGTTGGAGAAATGTGCCACATCTTTGGATTCATTTCGTGCCTGCAGAAAATATTAAATAAATTAAGTGTTAAGAGACAAGACTGCAATAATAAAAACATGAAACGGGCTTTAAATGCAAAAATCAAAAAACAAGATTCTAAACAAGTTAATTGAAATATTTTTCCGTCATTCAAAAAAAAAATCCCAATTTCTGTGTAAATATAAACTTTAACTGATGAAATACTTACTTTTAGATATGCAGTTTTGGCATGCTGGTTGAGATCTCTAGCAGAATACTTGACGTTCTCGCAGTCGTCTTTTAATCCAGCAGGAGCGCCTGAGGCGGGGATGGTGAAGCAGAAAAACGCGACGAAGCTAAGAGTCATCATGCTGATGCTGTCTCTGGTTGCTGCTCTTCTCCTGTGCCAGGTGGATGATGCTGTATTGTACTGGCAGACCTATTAAAGAGGTGGCGCTTAATATGCTGCCGTGATGAGTTCAAAGTGATGAGTCATCAGGACTTTCCTCCGTCCTTCAGGTGAGTTCACACTGACTAATAAATCGACCTGCGTAACCTAAAAAAAACTAACAAAATATAAAAACACCAACACTCAAAGGCTCGGTTTGTAATAAAACTGTGTCCTTTAAACATGGGAGTAAAAAAAAACCCTATAAAAATGACTTTTAGGTCATGACACATAAATAAGGCGGATGCGTCAGTAACAACTATAGCGCTGACCTTTACTTGAATTAAATTAATAAAAAAAAAAGTTGGAGGATAAATTTCGAACAGTTCAAATGAGATTACAGACATGGAAATATCAACGCAGTCAAAATTAAAAAAACGCGAACATAAAACGCAAATTGTACTTTTTCTATGCAAACCAATAAATCATAGATTTTTAGAATGATAAAATCCACTAAGAAAAAACACATCCAGATTCTTTCTTTCTTTCTTTCTATCTATCTATCTATCTATCTATCTATCTATCTATCTATCTATCTATCTATCTATCTATCTATCTATCTATCTATCTATCTATCTATCTATCTATCTATCTATCTATCTATCTATCTATCTATCTATCTATCTATCTATCTATCTATCTATCTATCTATCTATCTATACATCTATGAATCTATCTATAAGTCTATCTATACATCTATGCATCTATCATACATCTATAAATCTGTCTATAAATCTATACATCTATCTATACATCTATAAGTCTATCTATACATCTATGCATCTATCTATACATCTATAAATCTGTCTATAAATCTATGAAGCTATCTATACATCTATCTATAAATCTATACATCTATCTATACATCTACAAATCTGTCTATAAATCTTTCCATCTATCTATATATATATCTATCTACATATCTATAAATCTATGCATCTATCTATAAATCTATCCAACTATCTATACATCTATCCATACATCTATCTATACATCTATAAATCTGTCTTTAAATCTTTCCATCTATCTATACATCTATCTATACATATATCTATCTATATATCTATAAGTTTATGCATCTATCTATAAATCTATACATCTATCTATACATGTATAAATCTGTCTTTAAATCTTTCCATCTATCTATACATCTATCCATACATCTATCTATACATCTATAAATCTGTCTATAAATCTTTCAATCTATCTATACATCTATCTGTACATATATCTATACATCTATACACCTATCTATCTATCTATCTATCTATCTATCTATCTATCTATCTATCTATCTATCTATCTATCTATCTATCTATCTATCTATCTATCTATCTATCTATCTATCTATCTATCTATCTATCTATCTATCTATCTATCTATCTATCTATCTATCTATACATTTATACATCTATCTGTTTCTTAATATATCATTAAAATAAACAGAATATCTATATTATATATAAATCTATATATCTTTTTACCTGTTTAAATAACTTTCTGGGCTGGTTATCCTCTGGGTGGATGGATGGTTAGATGGATGGACTTTTAATGAAACTAATTATCTATTTATACATTTTCCTCATCAAGCAAAGCTGAGGAAGTGAGACTAACCTTTAGTTACCTTTTTATCCCATAATGAGCTAAACTGTCCACACAGACAGCACAAACTTTCCAGCTTTCCACTAGCTGTCCCCTTTTTTCTACCAGACAAAAAAAAACTTTTTGTCTTCTTCTGAGAGAGAGAATAATACGGGTAGGAATCCGAAGGTGTCACACTTCCTTTATTTTTCCCATATCTGCTCAGTATTTTTCTGATGTAAGTAATTGGCGATGATCAAATCTGACTGATCAAAAATGTTGAGCAATTTGCTATGACTAAAAAAGTTGTTCTGCAAAGGGGGGAAGACCTTTTTTGTCATTCGGCTTTTTTAAATATTTATTTAAAATTCTGTTACACGGAAAGAGGTTTTAACGGTTTGAATTTATTCAGATCAGATTAACACAGAATAATTTGATAAACTTAAAAAGCCCCAACTCAGTTGGAATACACAGATTTTTGGGGTAAATCAAATTTTTGTGCCAGAATGTACTAGCTTATGCTAACAGCATTTTGTTTTCTTTTTTATAAATATCTGTCTCTTTATTTTTGCTCCAGGTCTGCATTTTCTACAAAAACAAAAAAAGGAAAATTAATGTGAAAAGTTATTATGTTGAATTACCTACATTTTCCCAAAATATTTGCTTATTTATTGTCATGTATTTTAGATGTAATAATAATAATGATTAATAATAGGGAATCCTTTTTTGTAGTACTGTGTGAACTCCTTTTACTCATCATCAGATTAGATTTATTTTCAACCCAAATCTAATTTCAGCCACTTATTCTTTTTATTTTCTCCTGTAATACACTTAAAAAACAGAGAGTCAATGGAGCATTATTGGAATTAGAGCTTCTGCTTCTTCATGAAGATTTTTCTGACATCTAATGCCGTCTGGATACACCTTCTGATCCCCAAAAATGAGCTTGAGAGGGTTGCTATAGGGAGAGGGATGCCTAGATGATGGTTATTGTGATGATTTAAACATAGTAAAGATTTAAGATCTGACTTTTCAGAGTTTGACTGAGTTTTCAGAACCTCGTAACATAAATAGAAAAAAAGCATGACATAAATGGAAACAAAATCTTACAGAGGATAAAAATATATAACATTAATTTAGGATTACAGCAGTGTAGAATTTCCATCTGGTGGCTATTTTGATCTTTTAAGATAAAACATTTTTGGCATTCTGACATAATTATTCACACCTGTTCTGACACAGAATCATAAATGACATAATATTCTCCCTCCAATTGTCTGAGATTAAATTTCCTTATTATATTAACCCCCCCCCTCCACAAAGATTTAAGGTCACTGCATTAAAGATACCTGCCAGGCAGCTAGGCGTTTATGCTCACTAAATAAACAAACCCTTCTGATACTGAAATAATGAGTGCCCAGAAATGACCTGTGTATTTATAACATCTTGTAAAAATAGCCTGCTTCTCATGTGGTTGTTTTATAATTGCAGGGATAATTTTAGCTGTTATGTTCAGCCTTATAACAAATAAAAAATGAAATTGTAAATGAATAAGACATTTAAAAAGGTAACTTTTAATAGGTGATGAATATAGATGCAGGGTAAAAACTACAGGATGGGGGGAATGAAGCTGTTTTATTAGCTACCCTTAAAGCTTAGTTTATGTTTGATGTGTAAAATTCAAGCATCTATTTTAAGTGTCGATCATATTTTTCAAGCATTAACCTTAACTGAGCTAAATATTCTGTCACCTCATGCTCAACCTGGAGTCTAATTTCAAACAAAGTAGATATTAATTATTAGTACTATTATTTTTTATATGTATTACAAGTCTTTTTAAGTTCTGGATTCTTTTCTGTCATGGTTTTCACTTAAAGTAAGCTGCTTTTAGGCAACTTTATACATTTTTTATTGTACCTACTGCATTGATTGATGTATTTTCCAGCATATGTCTTAATTATGTTTAAATAAAAATAGCTGGATTGAGTTATATGTTTGTAAAAATGTTTAGTATTATGAACAGGCTGAAGTTTAAAGCTCCATCTGTTGAACCCTTTTATTTAGCCTACTTGTTTATTGATCTAATAATTACATTTATGACGTTAAATAACCTGTTATTCTAGTTATTTATTTATGTATTTATTTATCCTCAGTAAAGGCGCCCGTATACAGCATAGTTGCAGCCTTCCCCACTAAAGTTTCATTTTGTAGTCCTCTTATTCACGGTTGTGCCACTGCTGGGTTCCGAAATTCCGCTGCTCTTAAACCCACCACGGTTTACTCCGGAAACGTTTGAATGTTATTGTTGTTATAAGCAGTTAGCATGGGCCGCTACACGCTAAAACGTTTCAATAAAAGGTTCGTAAACATTTCACAAATGTTACTTTTATTGGTTCTGCTTCAAAGAGTGAACCCAAGCTCATTAATATTTTAGTTTTTACTGTATTTATTATGTCATTGTTTGCAGCCGTAAGCTAACCGATGCTAACTTTAGTTTAACTTAGCCACATGCTAGTTTTGCTGTACACCTCTAATTAACTGGATGAATTTAATGTTTATTCATAATAAAGACTGCTCTCTATACACCGCCTATACTGACTATCCGTTGATTATCCAGATCATTATTTTCATTTATGTAGTTTCGCTCATTTTTTTCGTGTTTTTTTATGCAACATGAACCAACTTTGATCTGAAGTTGTACAAATTTGCAAATCTTAAATGATTTTATACTTATTACATATTTGTGTGGCTTGTGAAAGTTATTTTTCAATTTAATTTCTAAATATCTGTTAAAGAAAAATACAGTTTTATTGATTATCCATGTCAATGCAGAGCACATTTGATAAAGTAAACAATTTAAAATATAATTTCCTATACATACATTTATATGCTCTGTCTTTTATCCCTTATTTTGCTACTCTAAATAATTATTTTTAACACAAAACAGTGGACCATAAATGGGTTTCTGTCTATTTTTAAAACGGAATATAAAGTGTAAAAAAGTGTACTGTATTTAACTAGTGGTAGATCACCTACCACTAGTTAAAAGACTTAGAGGTGGTCAGACCAGGTCAAAAACTTAAACAAAAACACTAAAGAAAACTACTTTTTTTAGAGAACTGCTCTAAGCATGATGAAGCTTTTGCAGCATTTAAAAAAGGTTTGTTAGATTTAGCTCATCTTCAAGGTAACATTAAACATCCCTACAGACAAACTGACTGCACAGGTGCTCCTAACCTTTTCAGTTAGGTGCATGACAAAAACATTTATGTTAAGCCAACTTTTCGCCTAAATAGACCTTCACCTGCATCCCACTTGTTCACTAAATCTGACTTGAGAGTTAAAAGAGAGCAGATGACTCAGGAGAATCTGTACATCCATCTAAATGTCATCTGACAGCGTTGCTGCAACCTTTCTGTCTTCCTGGGAA